ATTTACGACCTTTTGGAAATTTTAATTTAAAAATATTCATTTGACCTCACCTCCTTTCCAAACCATATGCGAACTATTTGCTCATTCGCCAGAAATTTCTCAAAACTTCATCCTATTAAAAATTTTGAGACTTTTCCGGAAACAAATACGCAATTTACCACTATTCACGCTCTTATGGTAATACTTTCTTTACTATACTTATAGTAAATACTTTTAAAAATCATTTGATTATTACTTCAATGTTAGATTTCAACAAACCTTTGCCTATAGAAGCAGAGCAGTGTTATACTATGATTTATAACATTCATATAAAAATGAAGAGATGTGGTATGAATGCCAGAGTTAAAATGAAGTGGTAGTAAGGACTACATGCCATCATACGGCCTTCAACAATTAGGAAATACCATACCGTAGTGTCGGCAATAAAAGTCCCCGACTTAAAGAATGTGAAACAATCCAAACGAGAAAACTAACGGTCTAGTTTATAAAAAAAACAATCTACGAAAAACAATGACAGACATGAACCAAAGACAACCACTGAACTATAGGCTCCTGACTTGGGACAAGCACATAAAGAATGTGGCGGAGTTAAACATGTTTGTGAACGCTCAACCGTCCCCTAACCAAGATGAAATATCATAAGTTACATAACTGTACATATATAGCAATATATATTTAGTTATGTTTTATTTTTTCGTAAACAAAATCAATGTCAGTACCGATAAAGCAATATTTTAACATTTTATTACTGTGTTCAATTGGTAACCTTTAAGAATAATTTCATTCAAAAGATCAATTAGTTTACATGGATCATGTCTAAATTTACGGGCTTTATAAACAACATCACTTAAAAATCTAGATGTGATATCCCGTTTTTAATAAGAATTCTACTGGAACAGCCAAACTTTCAAACCTTTGTAGCTTTGAAATAATCTGATAAAGGTTTTAATTAATTTGTGGTAACGAAATCCCTGATAATAATTTACAAGTTATACTTAAATTACGTAAAATACTGAAATAGAAAACACGACTACAGGCACGCGCATAGGGAACACGTTGTGAAATATACACACAGTAAGAAAGGGCCAAAGGAACATCACCGTCCAAAAATGGAAAACTAACAATTGGGAACGAAAAATCGTCTCTTTTGTCGTAAAGTTTAGTATAGAGTTTCCCTAGTGAAATAGAAATATCCAAATATAGTTGAGTTTGGCCATAAACTGTGATTCATAACGATATAGGAACAAGTCTGCTATTAAAGGGCAACATTTACAGCTTTAATTATTTCGTTGCTTTCCAGTAAGTATTATATAATATCTAGCATATTTCCCTTTTTCATTACAGAAGTACGCTTTATATGAGTTGCAGCAAATAAATCTACGACCAGATTTTTCAAAGGACCATTTAAATAAAATAAGAGAACTTCTGTTTAAAAATTGTGTGGTAGTGAAGTACATGTACAGAGTCGAAAAATCATAACCGTCAACCGTATTGAACGGACCATCAAAAGCACGTTTATTTATCCATAACATCCAAACAAGTTCTTTGTAGAAGTAAGGGAACTAGTTAAGAGAACAGAAAGATTATTCGTATGACACTTAATAGATGCTAAGATGAAACGAAATTTGAACGGTTTTTTTTTTGTGCAGTTTAGGAAGCCAATACAGAGTAGGGACTTTAAAATTTTCAGAGGTTAAGTTGAGCTGTGGTAGTGACATGATTATTTACTTTATGACTCTCTGTGGAACGCACGGCCTTTGATGTAGAAGAATGTATAATTTCATTATTAAGGACTTCCGACGCTATACTTTACGCCATACCACTGCCAGATTGTTGGCTGCTTTACCGGCTGGTACAAACACAACGCTTTGTGAGTACTTGAACTAAATTATTTTCTAAATGTGACTGGCGAATATCCACAATATTCAGACATTAATCTAAATAGGAATCAAGTGAAATTATTTCAGATTTCTACGGTTCACAGTTATTTTTACAATAGAATGAAAGTGCTTCATTAATAATCTTACCACACTCTTTCTAATTCATTTTCGACTGTGGACGATATTTTGGTCCTTTTTCCAGACACTTTATAACCTCTCTATCTTGAACGATGTTGAAATCCCCTGTAATCACATGGCCATAGAGATCATATCTAAACTTCGAAGTTTCCAAAACGTTTATAAATTAAGAATTATCAAGAACATAAGGGTTCCAACTCTCTCAGGCAAAATCTTAGATGAATTTGGCTATTATTTTTATGTCTCTTTTGACCATAAATCTCACGTTACATTGGCATTCAAATGTTAAGGTTTGGGCGTTACCAGCGATGTTAAATCACGAAAAGAAATTCGGACGCATAAAGTGTTGTTTTCATTTCAAAGATTTGTTTGTTTACAGCCGTTTCCTCGTTTTAAGGGAAAGTATTTTTTTTACAGAGACAGGTGCCTGTGGCTAATACTCATCCTTAGATTTGTCATGCATTTACCCGAAATTAGTACAAAATTATGTAAATAGACGGTAACATGCTTAAAAATAGCTAAAGTGTAAAATAGTGAGAGTTTTCCATCAAAATTACATAGACAAAGACCCCGTTCACGCTAGCATTTTTTTTAATCGATCTAAATTTAAATCGATCGAAATATAACCAGTTAGCGTTCACATTATCTTAATCCTAACGACATCTATCGGTCTAATCTGAACCACTTGCGTTCACACTACAAGTAAAAATGCAATCGATCTGACCTAATTACCGGGGGGGGGGGATTGTAAACACTGTGTATAACATGTATAAATAGAAATATTAACTTGATACACACGCTTGCAAAAAAAAATAATGGATGAATTAAGTGTTTCACTTGAATTACAAGTTCAAATTTTGATACTGCTGTTCGTATAGTTTTCGTTAATTTTTCAGCACTTTTATCATGTTTATGTTGTTCATCCATCATTTGTAATAAATTGCACGTGTGATTTTTCCGCCATGCATGCGCACAAATTATTTTCGATTCAATCGTACTAGTTTTATAGATCGATCTCTGCGTTCACATATAAAGTTAGATCGGTTCACTTTAGATCGATTCAAACTAAACTACCTCTTTTGGTGTTTTAGTTTAGACCGATTAAAGATCGATTCAAAGCGTTCACATTGGGCTTTAAAATCGTTCTATAAAAGTGAACCGATCTAGTTTAAATCGATCTAAATGTCCAAGTGTGAACGGGGTCAACGCTGAAGTTTGAATTCATGTAAGGGTAAATGGGAGGGTTGGTTATCATAAGTTTTAACGGAAATAAGAACATCATCTTTGAAAATATGGGATTTTAAATACCCGTGAAAGTATAGCATTGCTTTGTTTCTTACACAGTCTATTATGTGCAGGATTAGCTGCCTACCACTTTACGTACTTTAAATTCACATATTGTAGACATGTCATCTCCGTCAGTGTATTGCATTAAAGGATAATAGGAATTACAAAATATAGACGTACAAAGACCAACAACAACAACGAATAAAAAATAAGTAGATGTATATATATATATATTGAATATTGGTGTACATTTTTCAGACTCTTGTACTTGTTAAACATGTGTAAAGGCGATTTGGCGACTTAAAGATATTGACTTAAATTTGTAAAATATAAAAATATTATCTCTTTTTTGCTGATTTTTTGCCCGATTAATTATAAATTACTCTCAAATATTTGTGATGACTCGTTGCCTAAACAAATAGCCAGTGGTACAGAATGAGATAAATGAAGGCCGAGAATTGCCTCTTTTTCTTCAAAATGGAAAGTCATCCCCCATGGCGGTGACCTACGATTAGGTTAAAACACAATTCAGTGTGCTGTACAAGTTTATGATTTACAAGAAAAAAAATTAAAAAAATAATTCAGTAAACTACATATATCGTCTTTATCATATCGAAATATGATGGTAAATTAAAGCTTCGTGCAGACTGACGAAGATTCTTCTAGTACTTTGTCTAATACCAGTTCAAAGGATGTAGCAGATACAATCTGAAAATAAATAAAATGAGAGTGAAGATACCAAGGTTACAATAATTTAATATCAGTTTATAACAAAATGAACTTAAAATAGTACATAATTAAACAAAGTTCTGCTGTTTGAATACTAGTATGCAAAAAATGTATTTGATGACTTTGGTATATATGAGTTGAAAACTCGTACACTGACTCTTTTCAAATAAAGCGGGATTTACAATATGTAAATCTAAAATACTTGATGTTAATAGTTTTGATTTCAGTCATAATATTATTAAGCGAAATAAATTTTTTTCACTATCCTTTACGACCATATTCTTAAAACATTATAAGCAATACACTTTTATCGAATTAAAAATTTTACATGCAGTTATATATATATATATATATATATATATTACCTACAAAACGGTTTTCATATTCTTGAGATCATATATTCTCTAAGGCATTTTAACAGCCTTTCCATCACGTTTAGGAATATGTCTGCCAGCCGATTTTCGTAGGCTATTTTCATTTGCTTTTCGACCTGGAGCACCTCGGTTGGGCGGACCTCCTGCCGGAGCGCCAGGATTACCTGGGTTACCAGAATTACTATTGACTCCACTAGGTTCTAGAAAAACAAGTCCATCACCATTTCGTGTTCCCATGAATTTTCCATCAACCATTGCAAATGCATGTCCGTCGCCATTAGCGCCTCCTCCTCCTGCTCCAGTTTCAGATTTTAAAATAAACCTTCTAGTACCAGATTTCCTCTGTTTATTACGCCTACTTTTTGGTGATCTGCCAGGTTTTCCAGGTTTACCAGGTTTGCCGGGAGATCCTGATGGATTTCCAACTTCATAATCATACCAAAACGTATCCGGCTCGTACCTATCCCAGTAATAATTTCCACCTGGTTCTCCTGGCATTCCATCAAAACCGCCAGCCCCACCTCTTCCTCCTGTACCTCCATACCAACCACCATCACCACCAGGTCCTCCAGTGCCTCCTCCACCACCATAATACCAACCTCCATCACCACCACCTCCTCCTGTGCCTCCACCGCCGCCATACCAACCTCCATCCCCACCGTTCCCTCCTGCGACTCCTCCTCCACCGCCACCACCATACCAACCTCCATCCCCACCGTTTCCTCCTCCTCCTCCACCATACCAACCTCCTTTACCACCATTTCCACCATCAGAATACCACCAATTGTATCCACCTGGTCTTCCTGGTTCTCCATCAAGTCCGCCACCAACACCACCACCACCTCCACCCCCACCTCCACCTCCTTGTCCCCCGCCTCTACCTGGGCGCCCAGGTCTTCCTGGTCTTCCACCTATACCCGCTTGGCCAGAGTAATAAATTTGACTGTACGACATTTTAGTTACACAAACAAATACGAACAAGATGTATTGATAATTTGGTAACATGGTTGTAGTCTGAAATGTAAATAATTTAGTAGATAAAACATTGTCTTTTCATGAAATTGTCATAGGGTTCTAAGCATTTTAGAAGTAACATGCACTCATCATAGATATCAACCTTAAAATTTTGTACACCAGGCGCGCGTGTCGTCTACAAAAGACTCATCAGTGACGCTCGAATCAAACAAATTAAAAGGCCAAATAAAGTTAAAGATTTTGTATTGTAAATGGGAAAAATCTGATAAAATATCTCTTGATTATCTTACATAATACGACTATTTCTCGAATAACAAACAAACTTCAAGGACTCGCAGAGCGGTTTGTGTTCGTACCGGCCAACAAAGCAACCAACAATGTGGTGGTGGTATGACGTAATTACATTTGAAGGTCCTTACTATGTACTGGTTACCTAAACTACACAGAAAAAATCAAACAAACATCGTTTCATCTTGACCTCTAGTAAGTGTTCTTCAAATAATCTTTCAGTGCTTTTAACTATATAGTTCCTTAACTACTATCAAAGAACTTATCATTACCTTTCGTAATAAAACATATGAAAATTGTGGAATTAACTATTTTTGGAGTGTAAAAAATTTTTGGGGTGTTTTTGATAAATTACGTGCTTTTGATGGTCCTTTTGACTCTGTTCACAGCTTTAATTTTTCAGCTCTTTACACTAAACTTCCAAACAATCTTATCAAACAAAAGTTTTCCTATTTAATTAATGGTCGTTTGAAAATCTGATTGCAATTATATTTACTGCAAACAATTTAGCCTTCTCTTTTAATGAGAAAGGTAAATATGCTACAAATGTAAATATACTTACTGGAGGTGTGATGAGATAATTGATGCTGTTAACTTTCTCCTTGACAACATTTATCTACGTTTCGGCAATAAAGTTTATCGACAGATTGGAGGGATTCTTATGGACACCAATTGCGCCCCTTTAATTGCAGATTTGTTCTTGTATTGTTATGAATCACAGTTTATGGCTAAAGACAGTAAAATCCATCTAAATTGCGGAGATATTTACCGAGCCTGGAAATTTAGATACGATCTGAGTAAACTTATCGATCCTTTCAATAAACTTATTCTAAAAGATTACCAATTCAACACTGTAATTGAATATTTGAATATTGATTTTATTGGTATAAATATTAATTTTGTTATCAGTAAATTAAAAACAATCTAAATATGATTACTGTTATATACTGTTTTACAATCTGTCGATACTTGTGTTTTGGCATTGCACAAGGTCATGTTTCGCTATGTTTTTGAATGACGTATTTACACTAAATCCATTAGATGTTGGTTATGTACTGATTGACATTTTAGTCTTAGCTACATGATAAACTCAACATAGATATGATATTTTATTAGTTGTTATTTGTTTTTGAATGAGCTGTCAGTAACTGCGAGAACTCTCATATCTTTAATTAGTGTCTTTTTTGTTTTGGGGATTATAAATTCCCTGTCACGTCCGGTCTGTGTTATTGTTAGTTGTTTTTCTGCTTTTGTATCGATCTGATGAGTTAAGTCCTTTTCAACTGATTTTTATAGCTTTTTCTTATGTTGTACTCTTACTCCACTATCCGAGGTTAAGAGAGTGTTTGGCGCCAGCAAACTAGTTTAACCCCGCCACATTCTGTATGTGCCAGTCCCAAGTCAGGAGCCTGTAATTCAGTAGTTGTCGTTCGTTGCTGTATATCATATTTGTTTGTTGTTCATTGTTTGTTGATAAATTAGACCGTTAGTTTTCTCGTTTGAATTGTTTAGCATTTGTTATTTCGGGACCTTTTATAGCTGACTATGCGGTATGGGTTCTGCTCATTGTTGAAGGCCGTAAAGTGACCTATAATTGATAACTTATATGTCCTGTCATTTGGTCACTGGTGGAGAAATGTATCATGGACAATCATACCACATCTTCTTATTCTTATATTGATGACCAAAAATCCTAAAAGGTTTTGCCAAATACAGCTAAGATAATCTAGTCCTATGGTAACTGTGGTAAACCATGGAAGTATTATATTGACAGGAACTCCAACAAGCGGACTTCAAACGTTTATAGTGCGATGCCGCAAAATCGTTAAGTATCTGTTAATTAACTCGACATGTCATATGGATGCATGGGGTTCCGATCAAATTTTTGGAACCTCGTGATTTATCGTAATTACGGAACATACCGAAATAACCGGATGTGTACTTAATTGTCAAGGAAATGACATTTACCGACCATGTCACTAAAATGACAAATATGTCCGTTTTTACGGGTTTTGCTGCGTAAAAACAAATAAAAAGAAAGACGAAATCCCCGCGACTGTTATCGACCGTGCGAGTGCTGTAAAGCCAGTCAATGTCGTTAAACACTTCCATCATCACCCGCGACTGTTTTCACCAAAAATAACTGACGAGTAAAAATACTCACAAGCCATAAACATTTCAGTTTAAGTTACAATCAATTTAAATAGAAAGATTTTTTAATCATGCGAGGGCTGTTGGCTAAACACGCATAACTGTTACATACATGCTAGGTTTGAAAATCATAAAATTCTTATAAAAAGTAAACTTAAAAGTTTTTATCAGCAATTATTATCGCGTTTTACTGCTAACTTTGACAAATATTTTAATTAAGTGTTTACTGAAGAAATTTCCAACAAAAAGTTGGCTCATAGCGGCGGGGGCCGAGGGAGTTTAAAGGGCTTTGATCGGAAAAAATATCAAATATTTTGATTAATTGTTTACCGAAAGTCCAATGGCAAATAATTCATGCAATTCAACAAGAAACAAAAACATAAATTGCTTAACATACAGTGTAAGATGTTTCAGAACTGTTAAGCATTTACACACATAAATAAATTCAAATTTGGTTCCCATGATAAAATTTTAAGAATAAAAATATATTATACTGCTTAGGGCCCATCATGGTGATCCGCGTTCTTTAAATGCATCCAGAAATATTTAAAGCTATTCGTAAAAAAAAATCTATCAAACGTCAGAGTAATCTCGGACTAGGTTGAATATTTATGGTTGTTTATAACTTTGGAATTATTATAAAAGGTGTAACAATTCATCTGTCTCGTAACCTGATAATGCTATGTAGAGGTCATCACGTGCGTGTAATTATTAACCTCTTTTAGTCTTTAAAACATATTTAATAAATACGTTAATAACATTTTTCTTCATTGAAACGATAGAGAAAACCATAAATATTCTTGTAACATTCGATTAAAATTTACAACCTTTAACTTAAATTTTAGCGATCCTTCGCCATCTTACACACTACACGCGCATCACATTGTTTTCCTCAAACACCCGACTTTAGGTACATGTAATTTTTAATATCGGATATTTCCCGATTTCCAAGTTCCGATGATTAAAACATATTAAACAAAACTAAAAATAAGCTTGCCCTCTTTTCGAATGCAGTTAATTTTCTTATGTCATTCTGTTAAATATGGACCGATTTTTTAGATCTTTTCAGCTTTTGCCTTTATTTATTGAACGGGAACAGGTGTCGTTATTCATGTGGCGATTCACAAATAACCACGGGAGTTTCCGTGTTTATTTACATTGGTAGGTAGATAAGACACTCGATACCAAATCACGTGATAAGACCAGCTTCCGTTAACAAAACAGGCGAAGGCGGCATCGCAGATACCCCACAAAGGAGTTATCACGTCCTTGACAAACTGAGTCGGAACCTTTTCTTTCTTAAAGAAATCAGTGGGATGGGAATGTGCTAATTTTTCGTTGGAGTTCCTGTCAATATAATACTTCCATGGGTAAACAATTAATTTATAGTATGACCATATCAACGATAGTTCATGTCAACACAGATTTTCTGACTACTGAACTGGTGATTAGATTGGTCTGTATTTTAGGGGAGCCGATTTGATATCCCAAATTCAACTGTAAAAGCATTTCTTTGTGTGTCACAATGCCTCGCTTGTTATTAGGAAGCGTATTAGGGACATAGTAAAAATAGAATTGACGTTGAACGTTTTTTTCAAAGTCGATACTTTGACTTTTAAAATCATAGAATTTCGAGTTCAACTCGAAATTTTAACATTTCAAATCACGAAATTTTGACTTATTTGAAATTTTTAGTTTTAGCATCTTGAAATTTCAACTTTTCAAATCTCGAAATTCTGACTTTTTAAATCTTCAAATTTCGACTTTTTAAATCTCAAAATTTCGACTTTTGAAAACTCAAAATTTCGATTTTTTCCCCGAGTATTTTAACTTTGACAATAGTATTCAAACACAGTTATCAAAATTTTAAAAGGAGACGTAAATTACTTAAGCATCATTCCAACATTTTGGAAATTTATATTCAGAAATTGTTTTTGTTCTTAAATTATCATGATATAGATTTCATTTTTACTATATTCCTAATACGCTTCCGTGATACGATTTTTATGCATGTGTCCCGGATAAAACTACTCAATTCATATTTGCTACTGATGAAAAACATTCGCGCTAGCACCTTAATTATCACCTTAAAACTCCTATCAATCCCTCCCCGTCTGAAAATAATACGATTGGTGTTAGGTTATTTTCCTGAGGATAAACGCAAATAATTACCGTCTCATCGACGGTCTGATAAGTTGACGATGGACAGTCTTCGGACTGAATGCTTTCTTACTACCTGATTGGAAGATATTACTGACTCTTTCATAGTAAAAGTCGGTTAATTGGTTGGGCCAATTTGAAACCTAGTAAATGTCCTTCAATCCCGCAGAGTGTCGGGTTTGAACTCTTCGTTTTAAGGTATTAAAGTTGCATCGTGATCAATCATGCATATCGGTACGCAAGGACATTGTTCTATAAATAGTCGAAACTCCTGCAATTTTGTAAGGTATAAAACGCACACGTGATCATTCCACATTTTATGCAGTCAATCGTTGTTATGAATGTTTAGTCATTATAGTTGAAACGTATATGAAAACCTAGGGAAACTCCGCGCATGCTTTTTTTCCTCAGTTATACATATTGATACTTAGTAAGATAA